GGCTCCAGCATGTTCCTGCTTGTCTCCTCCCTGGTACAGGAGTCCAGGTTCACCTGAGGGGCAAAGGCCAAGGCTCCATTAGACTATCGCCGTGTTGAGGATGGGGGGCCGCGCACTTTGCAGGGAACAACAACAGACTGTGCACCTTCAAATATCCCAGAAGTGACAAAAAAGGGACCAGAAAAGGACAATTGGCTCCACCTTGGTACCTATGAGATAGTTTAAAAGGTTCATTCTGCTTCAGGGTGGGTAGAGCAATATCTTTGTTCTTTCTCGTCAATTTGGGAGCTTAATCGGAAAAATTCATTGAGGGAGGTTATGTAAGTCAACTGAATGAAAGAGCTTTTTTTAAAAAAATTGATTTATTTAGGGTTGTCAAGATTATAATAGTCTGCTTCACCGTTCTAGGAATCTTCACTAAGATCCAGAGAGTTCTCTGCCATAAAAACCTATCTCTTTGGAGAGGTTGGTTAATGGGTAGAAGGAATAGTTAGAAGGTTAGAAGAAACAGATTCTAGTGTTTGATAGCACAGTAGGGTGAATATAGTTACCAATAGTTTAAGGTCTATTTCAAAATATTGGAAGATTTGGAATGTTCTCAACACAAAGAAATGATAAATGTTTGAAGTGATGAATATCCCAATTACCCTGATTTGGTCATTATAATGTATGCATGTATCAAATTATCACATGTACCCCATAAATATGTCCAACTATTATATATTAATAAAAAAATCCTACCTCTTTGGTTGCCTGGACTGAGATGAATTCATTATATATCTTTTTGGCCTTGGGACTTAGTTTAGATGGTGATTTGATTTTCTTGTACTCTTCACAGCTGATCCAGAAGTCAATGTTCTCCTCACTGTATTCAGACTTCAGGAAAGCTTTGAAAGCTGCCAGCCCACCTGTGATACAGGAGAAAGAACCACAGTTGTCATCACACTGGCTGGCCTCTTGGATATTGTATTTCAGATAAAGTTGACATACTTTGGGGAAAAAGTCAGGGGTTCAAGCAATCGCCTCCTTTTTGGGGGGTCACTTGGGGTTAGGTAACCCTAATCTGTGGTATCTAGTGGATCCCAGTGATATCTAATGGTTATTGCTCAGAGGTTGAAGCCTCTTTCGAGAAAGTAGTTTGTTTCTGAAATGCCTATAAAACTATCAATTGCCAAGGTGGGTTTGGGAAAGAGAAACTGAGCTTGATTTTGCAAGAAGATCTCAATATTTAGAATTTTTTCTCTCTGTCCTTTTTCCTTGTAATGAGAGAAATGGTTTTGCACATGGTTCCTGTACAAACTCTCCATTCTATATCACAAAGCTCTAGGCATGGTAAAATCATAAACAAACGGGATATAAGACCAAAAGGTTTTCCTGAGTCTGGAAGTCAGAAGGAACGCAGGCCTTTTTGCAGTTTCAATTAGACCAGCATAATATGAGACAACTTGTCCTGTCCAGAGTGCCATTGTCCTCATCCTGCAGGGTAGGGTAGGAGGCTGTCAGACTTACATTCATGGGTAATCAGGTTTTCCAGTGATTCAGCCCATTTCTTGACTTCCTCTTGGCTCACTCTAGAAAAGTTACAGAGAAAAAGAACAATTTGAATGCCATGATACAAAATTGGTCCAAGAAACTTAAGATCCTGAATATAACGCAGAGATTTTATTTTCCATCTTTATGATAAGATCTATTGTTGATTAGGGCAGTTCTTTCACTAAATGTATGGAAATTTCTAATATAATTATGACCCCCATGAAAATGGAAGTCATCTTGATCCAGATTTGGCTTAACTTGGGGCATCACTTCCTTCTCTTCTTATAGAATGTCTCTATCATCATGTCTCTGATAGTTAATACTCAGTGGATCTTTGCCTAGGTCTTTTCTCTTACCTCTGGCAAATAACCACTTTGTCCTTCTTGCTGTGGGAAGAATTATGTTCGCAGGAATCAGACTTCTGCAGCAGGAAGCCTAACCGATGTTTCATATCTTTCGCACTGCACGGAAAAGGAAAAAAAGAGAATTAATAATTATTACCAGCTTTCTTTAAAAGATGCCCTAATGATAGACCTTGAAGAGCCTATTACTGGCCTCTGGGGCAGAGACATTTTATTTAAGGGATGGAAGTTGGAGCTGGCAGGAGCTCTGAGGAAAACAGGACACTCCTATTTTGGTTCTGAATATGACTTGCTACAAACCTGGAAACCAGAGTTATAATATTGCATCCTCTATCTGTAACTGGAACTCTGACCCTTCAGTTTATCTCAGAAGCCTCTTCTGTACACCCATAATTTTGACCAATGGAACACCTTTGGTATCTTCACTAGAACCACACTGAAAACTTGACAGTTCTTTGTTTCATTTTTAGGAACTGGAAAGCAAGCAGAAACTGCAAACTGTAGCACAGCCTTGCTGCACGCCACCTTCTGGCGGGTGGCTGATGTTTCCATCTGTCTCCCTACGGGCGGAGAGGGAGCTGAAGTCCCTCAGCGAAGTAAATAAAGATCTATTCAGTTCCAGCCACGTATATGGTGGGCCAAGCAATTCACGTTGAGGGTACACACGGAGTAACACTGAGGTGAGCAGCCCCAGCAGCGGGAAGTGGAGCATGGCGTCGGGAACGCAAATGCTCAATCCGAAGCCTGAGCTCCTTGAGGCGTGTTTCTAGTGGATCTCCTGCTGTTGCTGCTTTCCTTTTTTATATACACTATAAAGGGCATGTGAGGCTTAAAAACAACAAGGAGAAACAAGCTAGAGTCATCACTGAAGCTAGCGAGTTTTTAATTAGAGCAGAGCGCTCCGCTTATTGCCACGATTTAATAGGTAGCCCGGGTACGGCAGGCCTCCTGACTCACTGGAAAAGGAGGGGTCTCTCATCAGCTCAGCTCTCTCACTGTTTATGAATTGCTCTTTTGCTTGGACGTCTTTTATTATAAAAGCCAAAAAATACTTTAAAAAGAGAAATATAATTTTAAAAGAAACAAATAAATAGATGTCCCTACTTGGGAGGTAAAAATAAAGTCATGAAATATAAAGACATTTTAGGATGGCTACTTATACACCAGTGGCTTATCCATGTGGTTTTTCCAGATAGTTTGAATTCCATTATGCTCCTGAACTGCCCCTTAAATAGCATCTTCTCTCGCTTCCAAGGCTGCTTCCCTGACTGGTAACTAATCAGGGGATGTCAAATCATCCTTGGTGATAGCAAGATATAATCTTGAAGGTCAGGGTGACCCTGAGGTGGTGATGTTTGTGTACTGTCAAGTCCAAAGAGAAATTATTTCATATTTCCATGTGCCGACCCTGCCTGAGATCCGACAATTATTGACCAATGCAGGGTCATTTTGTGAAGAGTTGGAAGTAAGCTTAGCTTTTCCTTTTCCGTGCAGTACACTTATAATACATAGCATAACATAATACGACCATAAAAATAGAAACCAAAGTCATCAGAGGCAGGAAATTTGGATTTGGGCCTCACTCAGCCACCACCTATGTGACCTTGAGGGGTTGATATCCCCTCCGGAGTCTCAGGCACTGATGGTAAAGGTGTTGGACTAGATGATTTACATTTTACCAGCGAGGAAAGGGAAGAGCATCTCACTCTGCTGATACAGAGTTTACCTCCTTAGGTTAGCTGCTGAACTCTTTGAGGGAAAAGCCCTAGTACTGTCTTCTATCTGTCTTCCAAAATATTTACCAGAACATAACGTGTATTTTGTATGATTAACTTTATACATAAGTTAACTGGTGCTTGCAGTAATTTGCTTCATTTAGTTCAGGAAATTAATGGTGAAAGTAAGAGGCCCTTATTTCACAGGTTCTCTTTGTGAGATCCTCCTGCTTCATTTTCTTCTCTCTTCTTTTTTTTTTTTTTTTAAAGCTCATTTGCACTGTAGGACTATCTTGCTTCATTTTAAAGCAGCCATCAATACTTTCATACTCCTGAATGACAGAATTTTTTAAAGCTAAACTTTTCAGTAGCACACAAAACTATGCTTTCTGAAATTATTTCCAAATTAAAACTTAAGGTAATTTCTACTTGCAGGGAGACAAGAAAGGAGGTGGCATAGCTTTAGAGTGACTTTTTACCTTTAACTGCAAGATTAAGTAATGTGATATATGCAAGTTTTGTATTTTATTTTCAACTGGCAAATATGCAAGCATTCTCTGAAAGCATTTATTTATACCTTTTTTGAAAAAGCCAAAAACAGATAAGTAGCATATAGCTTTAAGTTTTGTTTTTTTTTTTAAATCAAGAGAGTACATTGACAAAACAATGTTTTTAGGATGTGATCTTACATAAAATCCTTAACTGATTTGTTATAATCAATACTTCTCAACCATCACTCATATAAGATACTTTAAAAACTAGAGTTAGAGGCAGAGAGATAAGGGAAATCTTGCTTTGAAATTCATATTTTGTTGCAACATTTGCTTGTAAGAATATAGAGAGTGGAAGATAGTGCAGCACCATGCAGAAAGCATTCTCTTTCTGTGCCTTTCTGATGATGTAGCCAAACCTCATTCTGGGGTATCTTCCCCAAAACCAGATCTAGTTTACTATCGGAAAGCCTACAGATGGAATTCCATGTACTCAAGCGATGCTCAAATAACAGCAATAATCACAGAGAGAGATATTACAGATCACTATATTTAGCCCAAAACCTCATATCACTTTTCGATTAGCTTGGTTAGAGGACCTGGCTTAAAGATCAGATGAGTTCTCAAAACTGAGGTCATATAAAGCAACACGTAAGTACTGAAATTCGGGGAGCACACTTCTTAAATCACAATATCTAGCTGGTTTTGGAAGAAAGCCAGGAATTTGTTGATCTCCTGACTGCATTGTTTCTAATTCTGAAGAACAAGCTTAGTAAGTGCGACATGTAAATAACCGAGAAAGTCTACCCAAAAGTTTACCGTGTTTAGTGGCTGAAAACAATCTTACCTCTTTAAGCAAGAAGCCGGCAGTCCTGCAAGTCCTTTGCACATCTTGTCTGAACAGTATGGGATTCGCAAGTAGGAAAGAAATGCAGCAGGAGGAGCTGTGGCTTCTGTTTTGAGCGCACTTCACCTTTTCTCTGGTAAAGATGCGGTCAGAATCTTCTAAGCGTCTCCCTCCCAAGCCTGCAGGGGTCTCTTTTATAGCCCAGCCATGGCCGTCCAGCCAATCAGGTGGCAGCTCTGCAGTGCCGGCTCCTGTCTCCCTCTCCCCCTCCAGCCCCTGGATGAGATGGGGGAGAGCACTGACGCATCAACAATGCAAAGGCACCACGCGGAGAAAATCCTCTTGCAAAGTAGACATACAGAGAAAAAAAATTACTTAATGCCTCTACCAATGTCTGGGATTTTAAACTCCTAAAGAAGCGAAAAAAGTGTTTGCAGTGCGGCAAAATATAGGGTTTATTCATTTGTCTGCAAAACCAATATCAAGAAAAGTTGCCTGCTGGAAGGAAAGGTGCCAGCACAAGTTCTAGGGGCTTATGTTGGGGCTAATTGCAGACCACTTCCTCTTTTGATTAGAAACATCATTTTATACGTGATCCATGATACTATCCTCACTATTTCCAGAAGGGAGTTGGTAGATTTGTTGTCTCCAGGCAGTGATTTGCAGAAGTTGCCTACTCGGTTGTCATGCAGACAGGGTGTGGGGAGAAATAGCTGGATGGCAGACAGTTATATGCCAGCAGCAGCATGGAAAAGCTAGCCTAGGGAAAATAGATGTGGAATACTGTTCTAGAAACCTTACTAAGAACAGAATCCAGGCTAGCACTGACAGTCTCTCCTGTACCTCCCTGCCTCCTATAAAAAGCCTAAAAGAGCAGCTTCAAAACTGAGGAGGGAGTAGATGAACAAATATAGACACCAATTCTTATTAGCTAATGGGTTTATGTCTTATGTAATTCTAAGTCCCAAATTTGTATTTCAAAATAAAGAAAAAGGGAGGGGGAAAGAAAGAGAGAGAGCAAGCAGGCAGAAAAATATGTAATTTGCCTTGAATATCACCAGGCTTCAGACCGAAGTTAAAAACACGCAGCCCTAAAGGTGCTTCTGAATACCTGGACAATTAGTATCTTTTGCATACAACATCATGGACTTAATTCTTAAAGAATTATGTAGGCGTTTCACATCTTACAGTCATAGCTCAAATACTCACACCAGAGTTATAAGGGAATCTTCTTCAGGTAGGAAAGCTATGAGTGCAAGGAGGAAATTAATTGCTTTGTCTGGCCAGAACAGCTTGTATTTTGAAAGCAAATAGGTTCCTGATCACAGGCTACAGTGAGCTATATTTTATGTATAAGAAACAGATGCATCAAATGGTGGAGACATTGAAAAACAGATGGGTTCCAGTGAGATGCAAAGGTACTGAGAATATAGAAACGGTAAAGAGCAATGCCTATATATGTCCCAGCCCCATATGTGCCACCCACCCCATCCCCTTGCATGACTAGCAGAGCAAGGAGAAGCAAATATAAAAGGCTGGACGAACCATCATCTTCACAAGATGCATTTAAATTACAAGAAAAAGTCCCTAGCCTTGTCTCATGAAAATAGAGAGATATTTATTAGATTAGCTCCTGGGCAACTTTTCCTTGAATTATAACACGGAACAAATGAAAGTTGGCAGCCATCCTCGGTGGTGGTGTGGAAGGGCCGGCCGTACAATGTGAAATGAAAGAGGCCATCAGACCAAGGGAGGTAGACCAGGGAGATGAACCAGTTAGAATAGGCATTAAAGAAAGGAGAATAATTAAAAGGGAGACAAAGTCACTCAAAGAAGGACCAGGGTCTTCTTTGCTTACCTGGGCACATAAAAGAGTGATCACTCAAATAATCTGATTTTAGGAACACGAATCATGACCCAGAAAGATTTACTGATGCCTGAAATCCACAATAGGAACTTTCTGTCTTGGACCTAGAACAAGAGAAGCCTGATTAGTCATGAGTTAAATATAAATCACTGCAATAGATGAGCTGAATAGGACTTTAAAGACAATCTAGTCTAACACCCTCATTTTACCAAAGAGGAAATAGAGACCCAGAGAGGGAAAGGGACTTGCCAAGGTCACAGCTTCTTACTAATAGAGCTGGGTCCAGGCCCAGGTTTCCCGATACTAGGTTATGTGCATTTTCCACCGTGCTATCCTTTCACTCAAAAGTCCTATCAAATGAGATAAACTGTGTAAATAGAGATATTTCTAAATGGTAAAGTGCTAGGCAAATAATTTTTATTATTAGGTTATACACACTAGATAACACAACCCAATATTAATTTTATACATTTTATTCAAGGAACACTGACTCTGCCCAATTTTCTTTTGCTCTTTTGCTCCATCTTTCTTTAGCAGCTGCTGTGGACCTCACTGTACTGGTTCTCTGTTAAAACCAGGTCTTTAAAACTTTGTGCTTAGCCCATTACTCTGTTCAGGCATTTCTTATTCACTCACTTCTTTGACTGTGATTTCTTGCTTTCTTAGGAGTCCTGATACTTTAAAGAATGTTTGAAAAAGCTTCTCATGAGTTAACTTATTTTTCACCATAGCACTTGCTGATTGTGTTAGAGGAGGCGAGGACTGGTACATCATAATATCTTGACAGCTTCCCCCTTCTTTCTCTGATCTGCACAAAGCATTAAATTTTATTATCCTCTTATTTGTCATTTCTGGATGATTCTGGCAGTCTGGAAAAGCTTTGCTCTCAATAGATCTGTTTTCTTTTTTTTTTTTTTATTTATTCACTTGTTTAAGACATATCTTTGGAGCACCTACTCTGTGCCAGGTACTGTTTGAAGTACTGCATTTAGCAGGGTGAACAAGCAGAAAAAGTCTCCATCCTAGTGAGGTTTTCATCCTGGTAGAAGGAGCCAGAAAGTAAACAAATAAGATAATTCTGCATTTTGACCTATACCATGAAGAAAATAGACATCCAGATGAGCTAGAGCGTTACTGGATGGTGAAGGGCTCGTTTAGCCAAGGTGGTTAGGAAAGGCCTCTATGAAGAGGTGGAGTTTGGAATGAGACTTAATGGGTAAGAAGGGGGAAGCAATGCAAGAAGCCTAGGAAATAGTATTCCAAATAGAAGTAAGAGCAAGTGCAAATGTTCTTTACTTAAATTGGGAAAGAACAAAAGGGGGCCAGCATGGCTAGTGAGTCAAGAACAAGGAGGGAGTGGCATGAAATGAGATATTAATAGAAAGGTAGAAGCTCGATCCCGCAAGGATTTGTAGGCTGTGGTCAAGAGGCTGGACTTTACCAAAGCACAGTGGAAAACTGTGGAAGGGACTGAAGCAGACAAGGGGCATGATCAGATCGTTCTGCCTGTTGTGGGAGAACGGATCAAAGTGAGCGAGCGGAGTGCAGAAACAGGGAGACCACTTAGCACAGTTAGCAGTTTGAATCCTGGTTCATCAGTTTCTACTTTGCAGAATGGAGAATTACTTCACAAATATTTATGACATACTAGGTACCAGGCATTCTTCTTGACTCTGGTGACCTAAATAGAAAGCAGAAATGGTTTGTGCTTTTCAGGAGCTCAGACTGTAATGGGGAGGACTCTTAACCAACTGGAAAACACAAGGTTGAGTGCCGTATTATAAACTTGTATGTATAGTAAGTCCTCACTTAAGGTCATCAACAGGCTTTTAGAAACTGTGATTTAAGCAAAATGATGTCCAGCAGGTCCTTGAATAATGTCATTTCCATTTAATATCATTTCATTATAATGTGAAAAAAACTGGTTTTGCTATGCGTCATTTCACTTAACATTGCAGTTTCCAAGAACCTATCCATGACGTTAAGTGAGGATTCGCTATACAAAACTCCAGGAAAGCACGGAGGGTGGAGAATAAACTCAATCTCTAGAATTTGGAGTGGTTTTCACAAAGGAGACTGTTAAAGGAAAAGTAGAGATATAGTAGCTGTACAAAGACAAAAAGAGCATTACAATGGAGGGCACAATAATAACAGATCATCTTACTGGGCACGAAATGTGCAAGGCACTGTTCTAAGCACTTTATATCAATTTACTCACTTATTCCTCATGGTTCACCCTGAGAGATCATCCTATGATGATTCCCATTTTGCAGATGAGACATAGAGGGCTAAGTAACTTACCTGAGGTTACACATCTATTAAGTGGTGGTGACAGGGTGCCAACACAGGCAGTCTAACTCCAAGGTCTCTGCTACTAACCTCTATGCTATCATAACCATAAAGGATACAAGAAAGTGGACTGTTGGAGTACCATAGAGGTGTCTAGCATGATTGCAATGCTGGAGTTCAGAAAATGACACCCCAAAGTATGGTGCTTTGGCATGCTGACTACTTTGAACTAAAGGAGATCGCAAGTCCTCAGAAGCAACCTCAGAAACAAAGTCTCTCTCTGCCCTCCTCCTGCCCTCCTGTCTCTCACCCCTATTTCTCCCCCAAAGAGAGTCATGGAAACCAGAATTTCTTTTCCCCAAGGTGGGTCATGAAAACTAGAAGTCCTCTCCCCCAGAGCAAGCCATAAAACCTAGAAAGTTCACTCCCTCCCTTCTCCCTTGAAGACTCTCATTCTGGGAGGTCCTGCCCCATACCCAGGAGGAAAGAATGCTACACAGAGAAGTCAAGAAGATTCTGAATAGATGGGCCTTACTGGTTTTCCATCCCTCAAACTATTACCATTCTATCACACCCTTTTGTCCAATCACATTTCTACACAGCTGCCCTTTCTCCATCAAACCTATGCATAAAAACAGACAATTCTCCCTGGGTCTTTGGGTTCTCACATCTGAAAGCTCCTATGTTGTGCAAAACCTTGATTAGATAAATTTGTCGTGCTTTTGTCCTGTTAACCTGTCTTTTCTTGGCTGTGACGCTTCAGATGGGTGAAGAGAGGCTTTACACCTTTTCTGCCCCTGTGGCAGCTTGAGGGAGAAAAAGAAATGAGGATGTGTGAGAACTCTGAAAACCAAGGGGTGTTTCTTGTCACACTGAAGAACAGAATTTACTCTGTAGTTTCTGGGGGGTGCAGAGGGGAGTGGCTAGCCAAAGTATTTAAGCTGAACAGATTGGTGTTCTAGAAAGAAAACTTGGGAGGCAGAGTAGAACAGACTGGATGTGAGAGAAATTGACAAAAAGTTTGAAGCCTGTTACAATAGTTCATGTGAAAGGTGAGGATGATAAAAACATGAGCAAGATGGTTGTGAGAACCAAGTGGGGTAGTGCCATGTAAAAGAGTTGCT